CGGCACTTAGGGCCATTGAGCAGTGAGGGGTCTTTTTCGTGCCAACACCTGCGACACGGGACCTCGGTAATCAGTCCCATCCGAAGGACCGTTCTCCACGTCCCGCAGTAGGATTCGAACCCGCGACTTAAGGATCAACTCCGTACTCCGCGACTCTAGAGCAGACGCTCTAACCACTGCGCCACGCGGGCGACTACAACATTGGTAAACTACTGTTTAATGCATTCTATTTATCAATAATACCATCAAAATAGAGGGAAAAGATGTTGGAAAGGAAAACCGGTTATATCATTTCGCCGAACGAACATGTAATTCGCCAGAACAAATTTCTAATTCGTCCGAACAAATATCTAATTTGTCCGAATGAATATCGTATTTGTCCGAACAAATATCTTATTCGTCCGAAGAAATATCTTATTCGTCCGAACAAATAAAAATTTTTTTTATCTGGCCCTCCAACGGCGTCGTAGGTTTCGAACAAGTGCTATTGATAGAAAATTTAAAAATATGTTTCATCGATAACATTGCACTGATTCTTCTACAATTGTTTCTATGAGAAAACCTTAATAATTATGTTCCCTAAATGAAATGTGGGAACATATTGTTTTACTCTTTTTCTTCTTCTTCTTCTTCCGGGGTACTTTTTTGTCCGCGAGTGATCTCGAAAACTACTCATCCGATTGAGCTGAAACCTTTTTTTTTAGGATTAATAGGTATGTTGTGTAGATTTGCGGAATGAAGGTCGTTTTGCTCGCACATGCATGCACGTGCATTCGCGTGCGATGCTCGAAATGACTGATATACTTGCTATAGATGTAACTTTTATATTTTTCTGATGAAATGCTTTGAAACTCAAAACATAAAGATATATAAGTGGTCTAGACAAAATGGCATTGTCAAATTATCATGAACCCAGGCGCATGCACTGTGCTTCGCTCTGATTGGCTGAATTAAAAATCTCAATAACTTCCTTTTTTGCCAAAATACTTCGAAATTTGAAATATAGGTATATATGATGATGCTCTACAAGATGTTTTACGGAAATTCTTGAGACCACACGCATGCACGTGTAATGTAATTTGATCGGCTGAAATTCTAAATGGCAGTAACTTCCTTAGTTTTCTACAAAACAGGATGAAATTTAAAATATATATATGTACAATGGGTTTCTTCATTACTCCTTTATCAAAATTGAATATAAGAACATAAATGCACGTGTGCTGAAATCTGATTGGCTAATATACTTTATAGGCCCTATCCCTCTTACTTTAAGATCGTCACAGTAGCTTAGTCGGTAGAGCGCTTGCTCCTTGATCAGAAGGTCGTGTGTTCGAATCACGACCGCGACTGACCTAAGTCGATAAAAAATAGGAAGCAACTGTTCCTTCGCCAGGCGCTCGGCACTATTAAGTGAAATTTGCGGGGTTTTTTTATGAGACCTTAAAAACCGAGGCCCCTTGTCACGGTAGGCATTGGCACGATCAAGAACCCTCACTGCTCAATAAACCTGAGGTCTAAATTTGAATCCCTTCACCGGTCTCTATAAGAGTGAAAAATTCTCGAACGGGACGTAAAATAACATACAATCAATCAATCAATCAATTTCTTTCTTTACAATAAGATACTTTAAAGTTTGAGACATAGGTATAAATCATAAGGCACTATACGTATAAATATGTGAGAAATCTAGAAAATACACGACAACATGTGTGTTGAAATCTGATTGGCTAAGATTGTAAGTATTTATAACTTTCTTAGTTCGAAGACGAAATTCAGAGTATACGAAAATAAAAAATTCAAGTCTCTACATTATGGAATCATTAAAAATGAGTACGAGGACATGCAATATAAAATATAATATAATACAATATAATGTGCCTTAAGAATAAATAGATCTGATCATTTTTGCAGCATTTCATAGACAGACTTACATGTTAAGACAAGTGACACCGGACAATATGAACTTAACATGTACTGACAACGGACATTTTGCTTATAAATGTCAAGTTCTCATATAGTATGTGTTCTGCGAAAGGCTGTAATATGCCTAATGAAGTGAAAATAGACCTGCTTTTCAAACTACGAAATTAAAGTGCTTTTTAAATAAATTGACGACGAAAAATATGTATTTTTTCACCTTACATCCATGCTTTTACACCATGATATGTGTTTGCCAATCAAAACTACTTGGAATATATTTAGGATAACAGAGACATGAATGGTTGTTGTGGATACTGAATGCTGTATCTGTTCCCCAATATTTAAGTGTATTACCAAAACATGAATTTTTATGCATTCATTAAAAATTCTCGTACGTTTTGAATGACACCGGACGGGCATTATCTTAACCTCACCTGTGAGGTCATGACAACGAGAAATTAAACCCTTTGTGTCTCTATTTCATTATAAATCTTTGTGTGTTTCTTGTTATTTAATCAAGATAGCGATGATATGATCCTGACTGTTACCATTTTGTACAGGCCCAGATGTGATAATTATACCCTCAGGGGGTATATCTACCTGTCTGCGACAGGTCAGGTGACAGTCTACAGTGAGTAGTTTTCAAACACCATAAGGTTCATTTCTGCAGATTCAAAACCTTTGTATGAAGATATTTATGTCATTTTTTATGGAGTCTTGTGGACATTAGTAAAGTTCTTTTTTCGGGGTAAAATAGATAAACTGTTCTTGAAAAGCACAGATTTCCACAGAAAATGAAAACAGGAAAAAAGGAAAAAAATCTGTATACGGTTGGATTGTCTCGGCTTACAACAATTACAGGGAAAGTTTACACATTACTTGAGCAATATAGGTCTGTCCCTCTGTTTTTGAACTTTGTAAAAAATCAAATTTTGACTTCTTGCTGTCTCCTCTTAATCTGTAAATTATAATCGAAGACAAGATGGTGAGTAAACTTTTTTTGCACTTTTAGATGAGATATAATTCTGGTTCAAGTATTAGTGTATTGTATATCCTAAACATTCAAATAATTACTAAACCTTTCTTAAATTTTTGTTTTAATTTTGATTATTTTTAAAAATCTAAATATTTTATGTTTTAATTTTGGCTAAAGTTGGTTAATTCAGAAAGGAAGACAAGAGAAGAACAAAGGGATCTTTTTTCTTTATTAATTCTGTAGATTTTATTGACTATTTAGCACACCAGGTCCAACATTAATTGTTTAGTGACCTTGTCCGGTGTCCATGATTGTAACCTATTATTGATAATGATAAGTTAATAATTATGCACACAGTGGCATAGTCATCCAACCATGAAGCTTGGGCTTGGAGTGTACCAAATGATTTGGTAGCAGCCAAACCCTTTGTTCGAGGTGTGAAAAATGTACTAAGTTTAAGACTTAGTGAAACACTTAGTTAGCATACTGAAAACTTCCTGTGAAAAAAAAGTTGAGTAAAAAATAAAAAAAGAAGAAAACATAAAAGGAATATTTTTCATATTTCAAACAATAAATAAGGAATGATGGTATTGTGTATAACTTTATGTACTTACATTGGTTCTTGTAAAGTTAAGAAGGTTTTTGAAAGAGGAAAAGTTACACATGTTTTCTTCAAATCCACATCCGGCTATCACATCTAAAATTAAATTAAGATACAAATTATTATTTTTTTTTCATGTACTAAATACAAAAAGGCCTGGAAAGAGTTTTTCGATAAGTTTTTTTTTAGATTTAATATAAAGTTCATATTGTTGACACACATGCTTTACTCTGGGGGATACTTTACTCATTATTGCTGAAAATGAATACTGGTATCTTTTTTTAATTGTACTTTCTTATATTCAGCATTCTGGTAGATTTTATTGATTGTTCTTATAAAAAAAATGTGTTTAAACCAGACTTAAGCAGTAAAAAAAATTTGTTGTGAGTTAATTTATTCTGTACCTAAATCCTAAACTGTTGGTCACATCTAATTTTTGTGATATATATGTAGGGAGAGGGCAAATCAAGTTTTTTGATAACTTGTGCTCAATCCCACTGTAAACATTTATTGCAATAAAATATCATAAGAAAAAACAATGAAATTAAAACATACACTGTTATTAACATAACATTTTATGTGTTAAACTGTTTAATATAAGCTGATTAATAAATGCTCGGAAAAAGATAAATTTACAAGAGATGACACAAGATACTATTGAACTTACGTAAGTTAAAATTATAAAGTTCAACCAAACAAAACAGACTGTGACCAGAACAAACAAAGACTTCTGAAAACAAAGGTGGGGTCAGATGCCATTGAGAAGTGAGCATCCCCTGTGGACACGCGATACGTGGTTTTTGTCATGATCGGGTGAACGAAAAAATCCGTAGATAAATCAATGCTTTCCCTTTGTTAATGTGATTTTGCCAGTGTTTTGCTTTCGCTAATTCTTTTTACAGTTATTGTAAGAAATTAAACTGACTATCTGATTTCTAACAAATCATAGCTATAAAACTTGAGAAATCCTTGATGTAGAATTTTAAAGTCACTTCTCCTGCTTTTAATTCCATATAAACACGATCTTATTCTATACTTACTATTAACTTCACATAGACTACCGACATATTCTAATGGAGAAAGGCATGTATGATGTACCCTACAATACACGATATACACATACTTATTCTATACTTACCATTGTCTTCACATAGACTACCGACATATTCTAATGAAGAAAGGCATGTATTATGTACCCTACTATACACGATATACAAGAGCTTATTCTATACTTATTGTCTGCACATAGAGGACCGGTATATTCTATACTTACTATTAACTTCACATAGAGGACTGGTATATTCTATACTTACTATTAACTTCACATAGAGGACCGGTATATTCTATACTTACTATTAACTTCACATAGAGGACCGGTATATTCTATACTTACTATTAACTCCACATAGAGGACCGGAATATTCTATACTTACTATTAACTTCACATAGAGGACCGGTATATTCTATACTTACTGTCTTCACATAGAGGACCGACATATTCTAATGGACAAAGGCATGTGTCATGTATCCTACAAACACCATAGTTTTTACATGGATTCGGATAACACGTAGAAACACCCTCTACCTCCTATTTAAAGAAGAAAAAGATTTTATGTTTTAGGAGAAGATGTAATATACGATTATTTATTAAATCGGACATTGACAGTTATATTAGCTATGGCTCCCCAAGTAAATTTTTCTATAAAATATATCAAATTCACGTGTTGCCTACCTTTATCTTAAATCTGGATCCACTCCTTCTGTTAATGTTTAATAAGTCAGGACGCACAACCATCCTATTCTGCTAAAAAAAAGTGAAAATGTAAACCTTCCGTTTTTTATAACAGCCCAAGAACCGGCTTCTGTATTAGAAGAACGTAAACGTTTGTATGCAATCTCAGACTCAATGCGAAAGCAAAACATTAAAACAAAGATTGAGAAGGGGGGTGTTGTAATGCCCGACGGTAAAAGGTATCAGGATCCAATTCCTAAACTTGAAGCTGCTGATGCCCTTCAGCTCCCCGTGGATGAGATACAAACTCTTGATGACTTTAAAGTAGAGTGCACGGAACCAACCAAGATTAGAGGTTCAGAAATATTCGCCACAGGACAGAGAGTATGCTCCGTGACAGAAGTCGAGAAACTCTATAAAAAAGTTTGTATTGACGCATATTCTGCAGCAGCTGATCACCGCATCCTGGTTTATAGGTTTATGGAAACCAGTGGAAAACTATGTGAGGGATACTGGGATGATGGTGAGCACGGTGCAGGACGCCGCCTACTTCAATATATGCAGACAAACGAAATACTCAATGCCGGTGCTGTGATAACGCGTTGGAGCGGTCCAATTCGCCTTGGACAAGTGCGTTTCAAGATTATGGAGGATCATCTGTGTGACTTGGCAAATCTGCTACATGGGTAATGTTAAAGCAGCTTTAATAGTTAAGACAAAAGTGTTGTACTAACCAAGGGGGAAAAAGAACACTGATGAAAACTTTATTTAACTTTTGAACTATCCGGAAATTTTAAATTTACAGTAAAAATTGTCTTGCTTTCCGGAAAGTTCGAATGTATTATATTACGGTTCTTCGATTTATTTCGCATATGTTAATATCCGGTGACATAACTTTTGTTTATATCATGTAAAAATGTAACGTTTATTTTGCTTTGTCTAAAAAATTTCTCACTCTTCTTTGACCAAATTTAACAATAATCATGCCTCATAATAACAACTTCTTTTTCTGTCTTCTTTTATTTCTTTCTAATTCTACCTTTACCTGCTTTCTACTCAACGATCTATACACGGATGATGAGGGGTGCAATTGTAAACACAGGGGGAAAATTGGCTGTTTGAATCAAATTTTAAACTTGAAAAGAATGAAATATGTCAGAAATTAAAATAATATCTGCTAACTGCCAGGGGTTGAACGATATGAAAAAAAGAAAAGATGTCTTTCAGTACTTCCGACAACAGAAGTGTAATATTCTATGCCTAAGTGATACACATTTTACCGAAGAAATGGAACAAAACATAAGAGATGAATGGGGATATGAAGCTCGCTTCAGCTCATACACTTCAAAATCTAGAGGAATAACTATTTTATTTAATAATAATTTTGATTTTGTAGTCTATGACCAAATTTTAGATAATTCTGGCAATTTTCTTGCATTAAACTTAACTGTTGAAAATAGGAAAATTAGTTTGATATGCATATATGGGCCAAATGAAGATTCTCCAGCATTTTACGAGAATTTATCAGAGTTAATAACCAAACTTGGCAATGAAGCAATTATTGTGGGTGATTTCAATCTGGTATTAGACCCAAACAAAGATTATTTTAATTATTTACATGTTAATAACCCAAAAGCCAGAGAGAAATTACTTGAACAAATAGATTGTCATAATTTAATAGATATTTATAGAGAGTTCCACCCAGAAGCAAAAAGATTTACTTGGAGGAAACCAAACCCTCTGAAACAAGCACGCTTAGACTTTGCTCTTGTATCCAACTCATTGTTGACTGATATACAAAACTGTGATATTCTTGGAAGTTATAGATCAGATCATTCACCAATTTTACTGACCCTTAAGTTCAATGATTTCCTACATGGGAAAGGTTTATGGAAATTTAATAATTCTCTCTTAAAAGACCCAAAATATATTGCAATCACAAAAAATGTTATTAATCAAGTTAAAAAACAATATGCACTGCCAGTTTATAATGAAGCCTACATTATGGAAATATCCAATTCTGAAATACAATTTACTATAAATGACCAATTATTTTTAGAAACACTTCTAATGAAGATAAGAGCTAAATCAATTTCATATGCAAGCTATATTAAAAAGGAAAGGGTAAAGAAGGAGAAAGATCTAAGTGATGAAATTACTGTACTGGAAAAAAATTATGATAATAATGTTACTATTATTGCTGAGAAGAAAAAAGGATTAGAATCAATAAGGCAACACAAGCTTATGGGTAATATGATAAGGTATAGGGCAAAATGGGATAGTGAAGGAGAAAAACCAACAAGTTATTTTTTAAATCTTGAAAATAGACATTTTACTAATGAAATAATACCAAAAATTATTAAAAGTGAAAATAATGAAGAAAGAGAGATAACAAAACAATCTTAAATTCTAGAAGAAGTTTGAAAATTATTCACCTCAAGTATTGGAGGATGTTATTAAAATGAATCTTAAAGAATCTCTTGAAGAATTTAATGTTCCTAAATTAGATGACACTGAACGTTTTCACTTGGAAGGTGTCATTTCATATAATGAAGCTCTATTTGTATTAAAGACAATGTCTAATAACAAAAGTCCAGGTAGTGATGGTTTTACAGCAGAATTTTTTAAAGTATTCTGGAGAAATCTAGGTCATTTTGTAGTACGCTCCTTGAATTATGGCTATGAAATAGGTGAATTCTCTTCCACACAAAAACAAGGAATAATTACCTGCATACCAAAAAAAGGAAAAAGAAAATTTCACCGAAGCAACTGGAGGCCAATATCACTATTTATAAAATTGGATCAGGATGCATAGCACACAGATTAAAAAAAGTTTTACCCAAAATAGTAAGTTCAGATCAAACAGGTTTTATATCTGGGAGATACATTGGAGAGAATACACGTCTTGTATATGATTTGATGCACTATACAGAATTGCATGATGTTCCTGGGATTTTAGTCATGATAGATTTTGAGAAAGCCTTTGACTCCGTGTCATGGACTTTTATTCAAGAAACATTGGAATTTTTTAATTTTGGACCAAGTTTTTGTAACTGGATAAAATTTTTTCAAAATAATATAGTTTCATGTGTGTCTCAGGCAGGAATTTTATCCAACTTCTTCAAGTTAGGACGGGGCTGTCGACAGGGTGACCCAATTTCTCCTTATATATTTCTCTTATGTGCTGAGATACTGTCTATTAAAATCAGAAATAATGAGAATATTAAAGGAATTAAGATAAATGACGCAGAGTACTTAATGTCACAATATGCAGATGACACAATGATAATTCTTGATGGCTCTGAAAAATCATTGAAGGCTACAATGCTAGAATTAGAAGAATTTTATAAAATGTCAGGTCTCAAAATCAATCAATCAAAAACCCAAATTGTCTGGATTGGAAGTAAGAAATATTCTGAGGATAGGCTCTGTCCTGAATTGAAATTTCAATGGACAACAAACTTTAAACTTTTAGGCATTTATTATGATGTTGACTTAGCAAAAATCACAAAACTGAACTATGACAAAAAATTGGTTAAAATTAAGACCATCATTGAGCAGTGGAAAAAAAGAAACTTAACTCCTATTGGAAGAATCACATTGATTAAATCATTACTTATATCACAGTTTAATCATTTATTTATTACTTTACCAAACCCACCTTTAGGTGTTGTAAAAGACCTTAACAAATTGATTTTTAATTTTTTATGGAAATCAAATGTAGACAAAAAAAAAGAAGAAAAGTTGTGACTCAGAAGTATGCACAGGGAGGATTAAAAATGGTTGACATTGTGCCTTACATAACAGCTTTAAAATCTACATGGATAAGAAGAATAATTTATAACAATTATTCAAAGTGGAAAATTTTATTGGAAAATAGTGTTGACATGGATAAACTTTTAAATACAGGATCAGAATATATGGCACATTTGCAAGAGAATGTGCAAAATAATTTTTGGAAAGATGTTCTGAAAGCTTTTCAGGAAATTTCAAGAAAATAGAGATAAGAAATTGGCAAGAATATGCCTGCCAACCCTTATGGTATAACAACAATTTCAAAATTGAAAATCAAACAATATTCTACAAGTCCTGGTATGTAAAGGGAATAAAATATGTATATGATCTTTTAGATGAGAATAGTAACTTCTTATCATTAGACAACATTCAACAAAATTATGATATCAAAATTAATCATTTAACTTATACAGGCATACGACAAGCAATACTTGCAAATTTAAAGAAGTACAACTTTTGTAGAAATGGATTTATTCATAAACCAGAAATTCCATGCAATATCAAAGTCTTTGTATTAACCAAAAAAGGATCAAAGCCTTTGTATGATATACTAAATAAATCAGTAATAAAACCTGTGGGTATGGGAAAATGGGCAAATTTTTTCAACTTGACAGATACAAACTGGAAAGAAATTTATTATCTGTCTTTTATAACAACCCAAAACAGTAAATTACAATGGCTTCAATACAGAATCAATCATTATATATTGACAACCAATAGTTTTATGTTTAAAATAGGTAAAATTGACTCTAACCTATGTACATTTTGTGAGGCAGAGGAAGAAACAATATATCATTTAATTTGGCAATGTCCAGTTGTACAACAATTTCTAGATGGTTTTGTTAGACACTGTCACCAAAAAGACATTTTATTAAATCTCGATGGTAAAACTTTTATATTTGGAGATACAAGTAATACAGTATCATCAAAATCTTTAAATATACTGCTTTTGTCAATGAAACAATATATCTACAGAGTTCGTTATCAAAACCTCAGCCTCTCTATCCATGGTTTTCTGAATGAATTCAAAATTATTAATAAGTCATTGAAATATACAGCCAGAGAATGCAATAAAATAAATGAGTTTAACACCTCCTGGCAAAAATGGCACTCCATACTTTTAGACTAACATGAATAAACCCTGTCTTTAAACTAGTTTTGCTACCTCCTCTATTTATCTGTCATCCACATTCTCTTTTAACTCATCTTCTCTCTCTCCCTCTCCTCTCTCCCTCTCTCTCCCTTTTCCTCTCTCTCTCTGTTTCTCAAAAAAATTGAATACTACAATGAAAAGATTGTGTCAATTTCATATGTTTATGTTTGTATTATAGCATTGTGGAATTCAAATAAAAAAAACCCCATCCTATTCTGGTTAGAACCAATATCTAGCCCTTCCTTTTAAATGTAAGATTGACATTTATAAATAAAAAACCCATAATTACATGTAGATTGCCACCATTTTTTTAAAACAGAATTAAATTCCCAGCTTCAGACTGAATGTCGTCAGTAAAGGATCCCGATTAAAAATTAAATGTTAAGAATGCAGATGCATCATTGCATTCCTTTCGTTTTCAATGTTTGGTTGATGATGGCTCAGCTATTATGTTATCCGTTCCCTACTACTAGTAGTGATCTGCATATTGCTAAATATACAAGAATATAACAAATCAATCAATTTCAAATGTTATTTTCAATGATTTGATTCTAATTTAGCCATTTTTTAAAAATATTTTTTTCGCTATAGATATGATAGATTTTAAAAAAGAAGACTTTTTGACAATAAATAAAACTCAAATACCCAATTGCTAATAATTGTTAAGAAAAGAAAGAAGAAATGATCAAGTGCAAATCCAAAAAAAAAAAATTCTTGGAAAGATTAAGTGCAATGGGGAATAAAGCATCCCCTGTAGACCT